ATTTGTAATACGTCGCCTTTTAGCTGACCTGAAACACCAGGTTCAGTTTTTTTTTCTGAATTCATCTGTGTACAGTTTTTCTTTCGAACAATTCGTCACAAGTGTCGCCATCTGTGCGACAATGCGCGAATTGGGATAATGAAGGGTTTGTTCCTTAATCCCTTTATTTAAACTAGTTTAGGAATAATTTGGAAGTGTTAGGTTAACGTTATTTCGAGATAAACTTTATTTTAAATATTTTACACACTTTCGGTTAAACTTGAACTTCCAGTCACTGGAAAATATTGTCAAAACAAAGTGCACATCGGAATAACCTTAACGTAAAAAACAAACTTGCATCTGTGTTAGATCCTAAGATAGTTTTAATAAATTGATTGTATAGAACACCCTGTATAAACATTTAAGTTCGGTATTCGACGCCAGTTCTAGTTATTACGACGAATCTCCTGATTTTCGTCCTGTAATACTCTTAATAATTATGATCAAAGCGTCGATTTTAGTGGTTAAAGAGGGACTGTGCCGCCCTCTATATTTCATCTGTCAAAAAATCGGTAAGTCTATTAATATAATCGGTATATTTGGTGAATTATTAAAACCAATAGTAAAGTTTTGAGGTCTTATTTTTTTATTTCTTCCTTATTCTTCTATTTAATGTGTGTTGATTAATTCGAAACCTATCCAATAACAAACCAGTAGGATATCTATAATATACAGAGAGCTTTAGAGAATTGTAACATGTAGATATATTAATAAAAACCTTTTTTCATATCATTCGTGTTTCAAAAAACATGTGGCATCTCTCGTGGGGTGATTTCTCATGTAAAAATAGGATTTATTTTTCATATCAACATAGGTTCGAATCTCGTTTTATAGCTACAGGGGGTTAAAGTGTTTTTTTTTTCGATTTATTATAATTTTCTTCCAAATACTTTTTAGTAATTCGAATAAAATTTTGAGGGTAAAAGTTACTATAAGTGCAATATATTTTGATGCTAAAAAAGTGTCGACATATTCACCAATGAGCTGCATGGGTTATTACAGGAATATTTTTCTAAAACAACATGTGCCCTACTGACTTTCTTTTCTCTTGTTAGCAAAATTGTATATGGTATATGCCGTTTAATGCCGATTAAAAGTTGTATCTTGATATTTTGTCGATTTCGATTTTCTTGATGAGATAAACGCAATTTTATTAATCACAATAAATAAAATTAAAATAAAATGAATAAATCATTTATTTAATTTTATTATAAAAAATTATATTATATATATATTATATGTTCGGTGTTATCTACACCAAATTAAAAAAACAAAATAATGATATTTAGATAATTACAAAAGACCTATTTTTAAAAGATATAACATCCTGTAACTTTAACACTATGAAGTTTCGAAAAAAAATGAAGACTTTTTAGCCCCCTCGTGTAGCTACGCAACAAAGCAACGAATGAAAAATAAATCTTATTTTTGCATGAGGAATCACCCCACGAGATATGGCACGTGTTTTTTGAAACACCCTGTATTAATGTTATACCTAATACTGAATAATTCCGTATATCTCCGAATTTGTCTCTTACATGCTGTTTTTATGGTTAATAAGGGATAAGGATTAGTTTTGCAGTTTTTCAATGATATTTAGAAATCACATCCTGTTTTAGTGTTAAGTAAGTTTTTTCTTTATAAATGCTCTGAAAATGACAACATTTACTATATTTTTCGGAAAGTATGCCACCGAGTGGTTTGACATTGGTAGATTTCTTAGCCAAGTAAAATCTGCAGGATTTTTAAAGAACGTTTAATAAATTAAGCACCTGGGGTATTCGCTTCAAAATCCCAATTTTCTCCGTGAAAAATCGGTTAGACGCGACCGGCTTACAGACGTTTGTACTCAGGTTCAAAACCCGATTCAACTATTTTTTTTATTTTTTTTATACAGGATGTCAATTAGTAAGTGTGAAAAAATTCGGTAGATAATTGCTTTATAAAAGTTTTGGATTTCTCGTATAACATTTCTCTATTTCGGATTTAACTACAAAAGTATTTGGTAGTATACAGGGTGGTCCAAATTGTATTCGGGATAAAAAGTACGTATAAATTTATGTCCTAAAATGCTTTGTTTCGAAGATACAGGGTGTGAAACTTTCATTTTTATTTCGATTTTTTCCAAATAATTTCGGAACTATAGTCGATATTTCGATAAAAATGCTGGGGTTTCTTCTAACATGAAAAATTTTATTATTTTATTTTGCTGTCAATATGACTCTTACTTGAAGGGGGCGCCACCTACATGTGTTTTAACTGTTTTGAAGAATAATAAGTTTTCGTCTGTACCTGTATAAAACTACTGAGTGAAAAAATATACATTTCCGTCATTTTTTGCGTAAAAAATATATCTTGGTAAAAATCGCTACAAGCAACCGTTCTCAAGATATATAGATAGATATATTTCTTCGGAAAAATTATAATAAAACATTACTCGTAGATATTTTTACCAAGAGACTTTTTTAAGTAAAAAACGTCGTAAATGTATATTTTTTTACTCAGTAGTTTTATACATGTACGAAAAGTAATTACTCCTCAAACCAATTAAAAATATGTAGGTAGCGCCCTCTACAAGTAGAAGTCATATTGATATCAAAATCAAATTTCTCATGTCAAAAAACACATAGACACCGATTTTCATCTAAATACCTATGTTAGTTCGGAAATTATTTGGAGAAAAACAGAATAAAAATGAAACTTCTTCACCCTGTATCCCCGAAACGAAGCATTTTTGGACATAAATTTATACGACCTTTTTTACTAATTTACGCTATCGAAAGATGCGTACAATTTGTCTATTTTTTTATTTCAAAATTAGTTAGGATTAATAGATTTTTGAATATTTACTTATTTTTGATTTTATGAATCGTTTTCGAAAAAAGTCGATATTGTTATTCGAAGATCAACTTTCTATGATCAAATAACTTTGTAGGGAGACGCAAAATAAAAACTAATCTTCCTTACTTTTAATAAAGCAATTACCTTCTGATTTACTCGCATTTATTCATTTACACCATGTATACTGTTATTCACGTAGGCGTCAAAATGATTTTTTTAGTTATTATGTTTCATTCGCTGACTTTTTTCTTTTCGCATGAGTATTTACTCGAAAAAGTATAATAAATGTTTTGAAATATAAAAATGTATTTTTAATAATACATAACTTAATAATTAAACATTACTTTATCTTTCTATAATAGAGAAATATTACACATTATAAAAAAACAACCAAGGTAAAATAAAAACTTGTCCTACTACAAAATTATACAGAATAATGCAGTTATCTGCAAAAAATAATCATATAAGTCTATCAAAATATTTAGTTTTTCTTATATAAATTATTTGTTCATTATAAGTCAAGACGAATACATAACAAAATAATAATAAAAAAAAATCAATTGACCCTCATTCTTTTTATGGTTGACCTCTGTATATAAATTCATTCTAGCATTATATCTGTCCAAAAGTGTAGACCATCTACGTATATACTTTTATTTTACGCAAATATAATGCTAGTTATTTTTTCTGTACAGTGTTCAAAACAAAGGTTTTGTATCTAAAATGGTTGAACTATTGTTTTTGGAGAAAAGCGCATATAGGTATTTACAAAAATTTTACATACTTCTTAAAGATTGGCAGCAATAAGTATAATTGTTTATTATTCTATATACAAACTTTTAGTCTTTTACATTTTTCTAATGTTATTACAATTGAGTAAAAATTATCACATTTAAATATGTATAATTCAGCATACAATAAGTTAGTAGTATTTATACAGTATGATCAAAAAAAAACGGCATCCAGATGGTTTGGAAATGACGATCGTTGACATTCCCCATATAATTTTATATATAAAATGACAGCGATCTTCATTTCATAGCTATCGTTGACGCTGTTTTTTTATCATACGGTACTTGAAATATGCGCAAATAATACAAATATATTTTATAGTAAATCTGAACAAAATAGAAACAAATAGTAGTTTTGATTGCACAATATATTTCTTGAAATTTTAGTAGAAAATTATATCGCCACCAATCTAGTAAGAATTAAAATACAGTTTTTGGTTTTTGCAGAACCGAGTTCATATTTTTTTATGTCCGATATGTCCGGTCGCGTATTTTTTTACTTCCTAAATTTATTTTCGAGTATTTTACAATCATTGACAACGTCAATATTAAACTCCATTTTAAATTCTAATAAACAACTCTATATATCGAAATAAAAAGAAAGTATAGCTTTTAGGAGGTTTTTGAGTCCGGAAATCGCCCTAAAACAAAAATCAACGAAACATTTTATTCTAAACACCGAAAATCATCAATTTTTTCAAAGGAAACTCAGAAGATACGACAAAAAAATCTCGAAAAAAATCGTAAACGAACGGCAGTCTTTCGAAACGCGGCAGTTTTTCTTTTTTCATTTTTTTCCTTGGGTATCGAATGTATTTTTTTAGGAACAGTAAAATCACTGGTTCAATTAGCCTAAATGTAGGCCAAGTTAATATTTGGACGAATTTCCGGAACCCAACTATACAGGGTGATTCTTCAGGTCTATTAAAAACTATGCTATTATTTAACTTTTCTTAATTTTATCGTAAAACATGTACTTAGAAAATAAGATCAACATTCAGACAAAAATATTTATTTATAGTAGAAAGTTTTTGAAAAATAAAACACGTACAAACATGAATGAATTACCCTGTATAAAATGAATTTAATTCAATGCGGGATAAGAAGGAATACTTAACCTTTTTCTTATTATTAATAATTTCTCTTCATTTCTAATATTATTTACACAAAAAATGTAACTGACGCGATATTTTTGTCTCTTTTTTGATATTTTACCCCACTGTAACCTGAAGCTGAGAAAAATAAAATTAAGGTCAAAACATATTAAAAAAATTATAGTAATAATAATAATAATATACTTTATTTAATAATAAAAGGTAAAAACTGACTAGTTGCCAAACACGTGACGAGATCGTGATAACCTAACCTAAAAATAATCGTGCTATGTGAGAAATAAATTAATATATAACATAAATTAATTATAATATAACTTAAAATATTAAGCAGACATGCAATATGAAAAAAAGAAACATAAATGTATATAGCAACTAGCCTTCTAAAAATAATACAAAAAATATAGGTAGGGGTTAAGAAAAAACTATAAAATAGATAGATAACATCAGTAATTAATTTAAGTAAATAAGAATCTTGATTGAGAACGTAAAAAAATATTTTATAGTTTTTTCTTTAAACTAGCAAAATCAAACGGGCATATCTACTTAATACGACGGATCACAGTAAATATAATACCTCTGGTATATATTTAACTATATATGCGTGTACTCTACGTATTTTGTTACCCTCTGTATATAAGGTAACAAAATATGTGTCAAACACACACTATTTCAGAGGACATCCAACTAAATTAATCTAAAAACAGAACAGGTTACATCGAATATCTCTTCTTTTTTTTTCCATATTGTGACCGGAAAGAAGAAGTATCGAGTCCCTAACCTCAACGACTAGCAAAAATATAACTTTGGTTGTAGACAAAAATAGGAAAAAAGAATATTAATAAATATTTACAGGCTTCTTATAATATTGCGTCGCATAACACGCACACGATAGTTTAAAGAAAATATACACGCAGACATATATATACAGGGTGTGCATGTTATACTCGCGCGCGAAAGCACAGCTTACAGTGGTGCTGAATTGTGCAGATTATCCGCTTGGCAGAAGACACGAATAACATATATAAGTGAGAAAAATGAAATACACCGTGTCACCGATTCCATATAATTATGTTGTCTCTGTTTATTTGGTATTGACGTTACGATATATAATAAATTAGTACCAAGCGCCGACAATGTGGGGATAAACATGTGACGGCGGTGGAGGCGGCGTTGCCGGTGATTTGGCAACAGCGCCCGGTCACTCTAGCTGTTCCAGGAAGTTGGGCGACTTGAAGTACTCGGGTACAGGGTCGTCCAAACGCGAAATGATCTTGTAGATCGATTTCTTCCAGGACTGTTCTGTATCCCGGCCCTCCTGGATCGCTTTGAAGAATTCCCTGAGCGTTTGTTCCACGACAAACCGAAAATTTGAAGGAACCTACAAGAAAAACAAGGTTATTAGACAAATTGTCATAGTCTTAGGTTTCATCGTTATAAAATAGATATGTGATACAATCGAATTTCTAAAATATGGATAGGTACTTTAAATCTTATTTTGAATGCATCAGTTAAAAATGGCTTTACCAAATAAATTATAAGAATATATTGCTAGTACTGCATTTACAGAATGAGCATTTGAAGCCAAAGAAAAGAAATAGGAAGATCAATCTTGCATAAGTCTATCCTTTTCTTTTTTTTGGATTTTCGTGCGCACGCACCAAATATAACGCTCTGATTCATCTACTTCATCGCTGAACGCTGTCACCTGCCCGTGCAATATTTTAAACTGTAAATAAATATTAATAATGTATATTGTATTATTTTTTATTGGTAATAGCACTATTTCAACCTGTTATTTTAGATATTTATCATATCTATCCGTTTCTTGTTTTTGTTTAAATATGTCAGAGATTAAATTTAAATTTATAAGTAAAGGCGCGAATAGTCAGACGCTAAATTGATTTACGTGGTTGATAGAAACTTAGAAAACTACTTCTATTGGTTAATATGAAATAAATCAACTAATCGAGAAGCACTTCTCACGCTTGCATAGTTTAAAGCTGTTAAACGAAAAGGACCGACTTATGTGGATTTTGTATAGCTCCATCTCAAAAATTAGGCTTCAATTTCTGTTCCTTACTAGCAATGTATTCTTATAATATATTTGGGCTTTACTGATTAATACTGAGGTTGTCCTACCACAGTAAGGGCCCACTGCACCTCGCTTACAAATTACTGTAATTGGTACAAAAAAACTAAACTTACAATACACACTAGTGTTTAATAAAATAAAAATAAAAAATACGTGATCTAGCCAAGACATCTCAGCCAGAATTTATTGTTTTATTTTTTTTTCGAAATTATATATAGTGTCTCACATAAAATCCGTACCACATATATTTCAGAATATCTAAAAAATATCTGTTTTTTGAATCTTTACTTCAAAAATCTATAAAATTATTTTTAAAACATTTCGAAACAGCAAAAAACGAAGTTGCTTATCAAGTAAAAAATGAAATAAGGAATAATATACAGGAAAGGAATTTTATATGTGACACAGTATATAAATAACATGAAAACTAAACAAAGCAAACTAAAAGCGTATTAGAACAAATAAAGATCCAAATTAATTAAAAAAAAATAAAATAAAAGTCTGTAAGATGTCTCGGATGCCACGAACCTGAGGGCCCCATACCTCGATGTGATTGTTTCTGTTATAGTGTAGATTGAGCACTCGGTATAGCTCGGAATCGCCACCTACGTGAAGATCATCCGCATTTTTCACACCTTCTGAAACTGCTTGTCTGGCATATTTCTCCATTTGGATATAGTAGAACTCTCTGGAATATCAAAATTATATTACATTAAAAAAATGTAAGAAAAATTAGTAAATATAAGTAGATAATGTAAAAATAGCAGTAGCAGCACTTTTATAAAACTTAAAGCAAAATTTTGTTACTAAAATACACAATTTATTAGTATATGAATCTCAATTATTTATTTATCTGTACAAAATATCGCTTGATATTTTATCAACGATATTGAAACAGGGGAAACTCAGAAGATATGACAAAAACTTCCCGAAAAAAATTTTGCGAACGGATTTCCGGAACTCAATTATACAGAGTGATATTCACAATTCATCTGTTTATGATTATCATTTTTTTAGATAAAAAACGATATTTGGTACGTTAGTATATGACATAAATTAGGATTGATTGAAGTATATAATTGTTTTTGTTCACTTCCTGTTTCACCGGAAATGACTACAACTTTTGATTTTTAAATGGCAACCTCGGTATATTTTTACTTTATTCGATAGAAAATTACATTCTGAATAGAACCACATATCATGTCAACTTTTGACATTTTCGTTTAAAAAAAATCGTATTTTAAATTTCAATCTAGAGTGCCATGGTTGTGTTAAAACAATAAGTTTTAATCAAGGAGCCTTGAAAAAATAGATTGGATTGCCCAAATCGTGTTTTAATCATATCTTAATTTTTTCAAATGGAACATGGGTAGCTGATTAGCATATTTGGAAAAAGTATTTTTTACGCATAATTTGGTACCCCAGACTTGGTATTTCGAGACAGATTGTCGTTATGAACCGCATATTACAATTTCAAATAAACCATATGCAAAAATATCAAAAGTTGACATATGATATGTCATTCTATTCAAAGTGGCATTTTCTATCGAATAAAGTAAAAATATACCGAGGGTGTCATTTAAAAATCAAAAGTTTTAGTCATTTCCGATGAAACAGGAAGTGGCCAAATTTTTATTAAAATATAAAATTTTATTAAAATAAAAATGGTTTGAGTACCTAGGTCGACTCAGCCTTAAATGAGTACTTGGGATTCACAATCCTGAGGTAATAATAGGTGGTTGAAGCGTAGTGCTAGCCACATTACCTTCCTTGTATACCGAACGGCTCTAGTATGGCAAGCTGTACCTTGCTACTCCCAAGGCGTTAAACGCTATACCACGGGAGCTATTATTATTATTATTATTATTATTTACTAACATGCCAAATCTCGTTTTTTTATCTGAAAAAATAAAAAAGTTATGGGGGTGAGCCACTTTTGAGACGCACCCGGTATGTACAGAATATCCCTTGATATTTTGTGTCATCGACTGACAAAATGTTATGGGATATTCTGTTTATTTCTTTTCTAAACGAACTTCGAAAAAAAACGGCGTCCAGTTGGCTGGGAAATGACGATCGATGACATTTCCCATATAAATTGACATAAAATGATAGCGATCTTCATTTCATAGCCATCGCTGACGCCGTTTTTATTCGATCATACGGTACTATCATTGCAATGGTGGAGATTTACCTTTCACAGACTTTTTTGACACGCCTCTTTTCCAGTCATATATTTGGTATTTTCAGAATATAAATAATTAAACATAAAACCTGTAAATGTATGTAGTATGATTTTTAGAAAAAAGAACTAAGCGGTGTTGCCAATTTTATTTCGGTATACTTTTTTTTCAGGATTTTTTAAATGTTCTTTTTTTCTTTTATGATATTAAAGAATTTTAAAGAATTCAAATGAATAAAGTAAATCGGATATGTAGAAAGGAATCGTTTATCGTTAATCGTTACATGCCGCTTGATTATACGTAATAATACGAATGTTTAGACCGAAATTGAATTAATATTACCTAAACACTGCAGTGTCATGTCATAGAACTCGAATGCCAATTATAGGCCAATTGGGCATACATAATTAATTCAGGCGTATTAGCTATGGTAAAATATTAACAAGCCAACTAACTGTTGCTATCTAATAGCCCGGCTATTGTAGCTGTTTCACGCCACACACGACATTTAGATATACCTATTTCTGTTTGTCTGAACCTTGATTCTTTTAGATGTTCTTATAATACTAGGCCTATGGTAGACAGATTTTGGTAATATTTTAATACTTAAAAACCGAATATCTCCAACAAAATAAAACCTATTGAGATAAATAAAAATGCTCGAGGATAAAGCCGTTTTTTAATTCCTTACTTTGGTAAACCCTTCCGCAGTATGTTTCAAATTTTACCTAAATAACAACATTTTGTTTTCCTTTGAATAGAAAGACAAAAAATTAGGTACACATTGCTTAAAAATCATCAAAATCGGCCGTCTGGAATAATATAGGGTATACCAAACTTTATTCCGGAAACTTCGACAGCATATTTTGTACATAAAATAAGTAAAAAAGTTCATACAAACTTATGTCTTAAAATGCTTCGTTTCGCAGTTAGAGGGTGTAGAAGTTTCATTTTTATTTAGATTTTTTCGAAATAATTTTTAAACTAATGTCGATATTTGGATGAAAATTGGTATCTGCTTTTTTTTAATATGAGAAATTTGATTTCGATGCCAATATGACTCCTACTTGTAGGGGGCACCACCTACATGTTTTTTTTACTGTTTTGAAGAGTAATAACTTTTCGTCCGTCCCTGTATCATACTACTGAGTCAAAAAATATACATTTACGCGTTATTTTACGTAAAAATGTCTCTTGGTAAAAATCGTTGCGAGTAGCCGTTCTCAAGATATTTGGATTCAATCAATACATGCCATCAACGGCAACAATTAAACATGTTCACTAAAGGTTCAACCGAAATCATGTTTCAATCATAAATTTCCTAAAATTTTTGCCATTTAGAAAATTGCCGACTAATAGGTTATTTGTTGTAAATTTTACCAAGATATCTTTTACGTAAAAATGACGAGAAAAACTATATATTTGTACTTAAATAAATTTAATAGAATTGACCTTGCCTTGCATACCTTTTATTTTTAAATTAATAAATGTCCCTAGAAAATTTACAGTAATATTTTAAAACAGCTTCAGTTGAATCTATGATACTAAAATGTTTGGAAAATTGTTAGTTCAGTCAAATATATTTCTAGTGAAAAATTCTTTACTTTTTGTTAATGATGACATCCCATACAGCACGTCCAAATAAAATTACGTTTCTACAAGGGAGACACATGAGAAACCAAATATGTTAAAGTGAACCTAAGTGTTCATCTAGTTCTAACATATACATATGAGATACACGCAGGTTTATATTGATAGAATTGTGTGATACAGTGATTACTAGTTGTATACCGTATGCACTCAAGATTCTAAAGAGTTTTTTCTAACGTAACAAATAATTATTAAAATGATGAAATCTGACGTCGGTATATGAGACATACAATGTATATGTCATATGTATGTGTGATACTTCGTATCATAGTTGTGCCTATAGTACACACCTTGTAAAAATGTGACGTATACACATAATATAAATTTCTATATAGACACTTTGTAATAGTGTACTGTTGTGTCTACATTCTAGCATGAAATGAAGGTGTGCGCACGCGCGGACAGCCTTAGCGTAGATACACCGACTGTTCACACGATGTGTTCTCTCTCCTTTCTCCTTTCTAGGAGTGGTATGTGTTAGCAGCCATTATTGTTTCATCATTCGGAAGCTCTATATAAATGTTCTGTTTGTGTGTAGTTTAAAACAGATTTTAAGGTAAGCACAAGTTTTTAATTACCTTCTTACACCTTTCTAAGAGTATTATTAATATTATAGCAGCGACTCTTCCCTTACTCGTTACCCAATTTACCAAATTTTGACTCCATTGAATGAAAACTCCAAATATTCTCGTATAATGATAAAGAGGTTAGCTCTGCAATATATTTTTTTTTAATTTGGAAATAATAAAAATTTAAATGGATCAGAGAAAGAAAGATTTAAACACTTCTTACACTGATATTCGGTAAGTTATTGATGGATCAATATACAGGTATGTTTAATATTCAATAATCAGTTTCATATAAAATTTAAGGGTGAGATTGTCAATCTGAAATTGTTAATCTCGATGAATGAGTATGCTGATGGTTGCTAATGGTTGCTAACAAACCATCTGGTTGGAGGGAAAAGAAGAGAAAAAAAATGACTAAACGAATCACCAAATCGTGGCGATATACCAGTGTTTACCATTTTAGTATGTTGTTATACTGGGTACTTAGATTTTTAATACATTTTGATACAAATTCTGTTCTTTTACAGTGTTTTCTTACTTCTGGTTTCTGCAGTGTAAATAATTATTATTATTGTGATATTTGCGCTATTGCGTTCCATGATATAAAGAAATATAAGAATTTTATTTTTAACCACTTAATCCATTTTATGGAAAAAAAATGGTACATTTAATACAAAACAAAAATGGAACATTTGTAAGGCTACTTCTTTTGAACTTACGATCGAGATACTTTTGGAAAATACAAAGTTTTGCCTTCCTAATTTTCGTTCTAAAAAGATATAATTGGTATTATTGAATAAATATTTCTTAAAAAGAACGAAAAGTTAGGCATCAAAACTTGTATTATTTCCTAAATTCGTTCATAAGAAGTAGTTTATCTAGCACAAAATGTATATACGAAGTAAAATACATACGTATACACGCAGTAGTCACAACTGCAATGTGTAAACAGAGTTTAAACGTAATACACAAGCACTGCGTATCCTACGGCACACTGTGTATCCCTTACTTTGTGTATACGTAAATGCTATACTGTGGCTACATTGTGAGGCGGACGTTTAACCTTTGTGCATACGTGTTGAACTACAATGTGTAAACGTATCATATTTACATTGGGGGAATTTTGTTATCCTGTGTCTACATCTAACAATGTAAACACATCGTAAATGTGATTTGATGTGCTGTATGGGATATTGTATTGATGATTAAGACTATGTAGTATGATTATTAAGAATCCAAATATCTCTAGAATCTAGAATGAATCTAGAATGGTTGTTTGCAGCGGT